TAAAAATAAAGCTAAAGGTCATCACAATATAATTTGCTTTATATAACTCAAATTTATTTACATCCAAAACATTTATATACATTGATCATGATTTTTGAATAAACCCAACAAGACTTACAAATTTATCATGATCACAAAATACATATATAAAATATACCTCTATCAACAAGTAATATAAGTGCACTCCACTGAATATTTACCCTTCCTTGAAAATAAGTGAACAGCTCCTTAGGTTACACAAAACCTACATAAATAGAACAATATATATGATTGCATCATAATCACGTAATATATGTTAAACAAGCAAGTATGTCGGTCACTGAACATGTATATGTATATTGTAAATTATGTACCTGTAATATGATATTAAATCACAATATTAGCAATATATAAAATGCATATCATCAAGCACAACTATCATCATACTTATACTATACAAGTTGAGTGTTTTGACTAATCATATGTGGTGTTTTCTCTGCACCAATCATAATAAAACAAGTACAATATCATATCATATAGTGTTAGTAAATACTGTCAGAACAATCAGTCAGGTGGCACAGTACACGGGACTCGTCACCCCTAGCCCGCCGGCACTCAGATCATATCATATAAACCCCTTATAACTCCAAAGATGTATCAAATTTACACCACTAACCCATTTAAATGAAAGCTTGTTAGCTCACCCTCATGTGTAGGAAAACATATCTCCGTCAACCTAAATCATAGTAGCCAACTTTTCTTACATACATACATTTCACAATATCATATCATTTCTAAGCAGTGATAATATATTAATCATCATAATTTACATGTAAAACATGTATCTAAACAAAATAAAGAGATCCACAGTATACAATAATATCATCAATCTGTATGTAATAGAAATTACATGTTAAGAATATATGCCGTCCTCTTTTTGTTATTATTTCATAATATACATAGTTTTAATTATACTTTTATAAAATTTTATATAACTTCAATTAATGAAAAACTTATATATGAGAAGACGTGTTTAACTTTTTATTTTTTTTAAGTAGGTGACTAGCATTATTGATGTGATATTTTTTCATGCTATGCATGTAAATATTAAAATATGGATCCTAGATATGTAAATACATGAGAATTTTGTGGTCTGCATGTAAATGCTCCAAAAGAAAGTTAATCCGAGCTAAAAGAAGCACGGGTTGCATGCGGAAACTGATGCTGAAAATAACTGCAGAAAAAATAAAAAGGCATTTATTCACGGTTTTCTAACACCAACGCTTTACTTCTGTTTACGTATCCAGCATTTAAATCTTTCAAATGACATCCAATAAGTGTTATGCAAACACGCAGGGATTGAGTGGTATGTATGTAAATCTTCCCAAAAAAAATAATGTTGCCGTATTATCTTAATAAATTAATCAAAAAATTTACTTACATATTACAAAATTTTTATATATTTATTTTTTATATTTTATTATATGATATTCTAATTTTAATATCTTCTATCAATTTTCATTAATATTAAAAATATGCTTTGCATGCATATATTTTAATATGATTCAAATATTAATGTGTTTTACAATCAAACACAAGTACAAGTATTTCGCCATTATATTAATAAATATATATATAATTACATGATATGTATGTAAATCTAGTTATCATTATTTTCTGAATGTTTATGAGAAAATTTAATTAAATTTAAAACTTTAAAAATAATTTTCTAGAACTACTCTCTCTCTAATGATGATGCATCATTAGTAAATTTTCACTATTTGACATAAATCTCAAGGCATGACACAATTCTTGAGGCTTTTACAAGCTTATATCAAATAGATCATGAGCCAAATCCAACGGGTCCAAGATCACTCAACACTTACACCATTAAGACACAAATGTCCATGAAACACCATCGGTCAAGGGATTTGTTCTGGGTAGTACAATAGAGTGGTATGGATTTCTGTCATATTTACAGGGGATGCTACTTCGAGACTGTATAAACAGAACCTTACTCATTCATGAAAGGGGAAGACCTAGGCCTAGTCGTGGTGAAAAAAGAAGATTTGTTGAATTCGAGTGTCGTTCTAGATTTGATGACTCTACGAACAATACTTGCTCCCGTAGTTGCTCTGCATCCTCGACCACAGCTCGTCGGTCTGCGTCGACCATCGTGGGTTGCCCCGCTGCTTGTCGCCATTGGTGGATCTTGCAGAATAACAACACACGCTGCAACAAAGCATCTTGTGGAATCATGAAGTACACACCCTAAACAACACACCCCAAAGATGGTGTAACAACACACCATGAATACGATGTAACGATGCACCATGAATCTAATGTAACAATATACCCCCAATTGAAGATCAGATGATAACTCCTAATGTCAATGACTTACACTCGTCGTACTCATGATGGTGACTTTTTTCAGACTTCTAAATTTCTCTCCTCGCTGCTTCCCCACTGGCCTTGGTCTCATACTGCTGCTCTTGCAGCTCCCTACTTGACCTATGTGACCAACTATGGCATACTTGGTTCATAGCTCACACAACTCCCGACTTTGGTCTTTGTGCCTACAAACGTTATTGCAACTCTCAAATCTGGCATCTGTGGCCTACGGACATTATTACAGCTCTCAACTTCGGCCTCCATGGCCTACAAATGTTATTACAGTTCATCATAGGGGTGTAAATGAGTCGAGTCGAGCTTGAGTCATGTCAAACTCAAGCTCGGTTCATTATTCAAAATGTGAACTCGAACTCGAATGGCGAGCTTGAGCTAACTTGTAGTGGTAGCAGTCAAATAACAAAGCGCCACACAAGCTCGAACTAAAAATTTAATTTTTTTTACAAGAGTTCACTGGAGAAGGTAATGGTAATTGAAGAAGGATACAACAACAGCTCACCGAATAAAGCATTGATATGACTAATGGTAGGCTAATCAAGCCGCCTTGCAAGCCAACTAGCAAAGCCGGAACGAGCTCGATATCATTTAATAAATGAGCTCAAGTTTGAGCTCCAGCTCAAGCTTGTGGCTCTATAAGCTCAACTCGTGAGCTTGTTAACGAGCCAAGCTCGAGAAGACTTGACTTATTTGCACCCCTGGTTCACCATCACGACCTATGTGAGCAACTACGAACTATATGGCTTACAGCTCACACAACTCTAAACTTTGGCATTATGGTCTACGTACGTTAGTGCAGCTTCATACTAAGGTCAATGTGACGAACTCCGTTATGGCCTCTGTGACTAATTGATGCTCTTGAAGGTAACAACAATGGCCTATATGGCCAACTACTACTATGACTTTCAATTACAGTATATACGACAAGCTGAGGTTATTGCAACAACTAAAAACAACATTTGTTGTAGCCCGATCACAACTATTAAAGCAGGACTACTATTATATTTTTGTAATTCTATTTTCTCTAATATTGAGAAAAAAGTGGACGCATGTACTCACAATTACATAGATGATTACTTCAATTGGGCCAAGCCCAACCGTTTTTTCCCCCTCCAAGTTTTTTCACATTAAAATAGTGATGTCTCCTCCTGTTACTTCTCTATTATCTATGTCCGTGTGCTGAATTTTTCGTACAACCCTAAGACGCTAATATATTACTCCACCGCCGCAAATCTCTCGACACGCAACATGTACTTCAAACAAAGTTATTGTTAAACTTGTGCACATTGATATGCCACCAACTTTCACATGATTAGATACAGATCTAAATATATTTTTGTGGACATACTAAAGTCAAGTCCAAGATCATACAAGCTCCAATTCTCAGAAAATTTATTGTCAAATGAAACATCTTGATAATATGAAGCCAACGACACTAAAAATGTTTCGACCCTAGTCCAAAAAAAGGCTAAATCAAATACATAAAAAGGAAATATATAAGTGTATAACTAAAATTTTGAAAACATTAATTGAAATCTCAAAATGATATCCAAAGTAGACATTTATAGTTAAATTATAATATGGCGGAGCCATTTTGATCTCTAAAAGCCATGAATTGTGTGCTACATGTGGCCCTACATTTTAATAGAAAGAATATTTTGTTCTGCCGAAGACTTTCCAACATCTCGATTTATTTAGATGATATATTTCATTTACCAATAAGATAATCAACAGCTTACATCACATTAACACCACCATTGTCGGCCACCTAATCTGACTTTAGTCCGAACATATCTACACCACCACCAGTAGTAAACCATCCAATTAGTTTTTTTTAATTTTAAAACTCAGTTTAGAGAGCACGTTCTTCTCGTATTTATGCCAATTCAAACACGTTCTGCTAATTGGCGCTATGCAATGCTGTCACAATGACTGGTTACAATGCACATATCAAGCCAACAGGAACTCTTGTAGCTATATATCAATCGAATGAAATCTTAACATTCTAACATATGTGATTTGCAATTTTAACGTTGTTATAACTACGATATCCACAAGTTTTCAATCAAATTCGTTTATATATCTCAAACAAAGAAAACAAAAAATCTACTTTGTTTGCATGGCATGCATAACTAGATGTCAAAAAAGTTGTTATTCATGAACAAGCCGTGTTTGGCTTTTTAAGTTGCTCGTCTCAGACTCATTCATTAAGTGAGCCGCACATGAAATTCAATCACGTTCAGCTTGTTTTAGCTCGATATAATGAATTATATATAGTCATGTGATTTTGTGTCTTTTATTAAATATGAATAGTACATGTTCAAATTCAACACCTCACTTTTTTTTTCTAATTAAGTTAAATGAGCTAATTTCAAGCTGATCATGATCAAATTGTTCAAGAGCAATATAGAACATAAGCTCATTTTGAAAATAATTAATTTTGAACGAGTCGAATATAAGCTGAGCTTAAGCTCATTCCAACTAGGCTCATTTACAGCCCCAATTGAACAACTTTCAATCTTAAGGATAAGTAAAATTATGAAATACTATAATTTGTTTAGATATTGTGCAAAAAAAAAAAAAAAAAAAAAAAAAAAGGATGGGCCAATTTATTAAGTTACATAAATTATATACAATTTTTCTATCATTTATACAAATGTCTCAAAATTTAAAATGGGCATTTATCTATCTTAAAATTAACTTGAATCAATCATCCACACTCTTCTAACAAATAGCATATGAGACAAAATGACATCAACCTCCAATCTCATAAATGTGCATTCAGAGCTAAAAAAGAAGCCGTGCATCGGAACAACTATTTAAACAATTATTTAAGCCGCACATTCGGATGATGTTGTGGTTCTGGTTGGATTAGCTACCCTTTTTGCTCGTCTTTATCGACCTGCAGCTGCCTTAGGAGAATCTTTTTATCAATATTTTAGTGTAAGTGTCTTTAGAGTGGACTCATTCTAAAAAAAAATATTTCAGTGATTCAGATCGGACACCACACACAAATTTATGTGCGGTGCTTGTACGCAACTAGCGCTCAGGTGGTGCTGAGCCTTGAAGTGGTTCTTATCTTCTTTTGTGCTTGCTGTTTGTATTTAATTGATGCTTTGTTTCTGAACTTTAAACATACATATATATATCCATCATCATTTAAAAGTATCTACTGACAGAACCGTCACAAGTCATATAAGTACTCCATCATCATTTAAAAGTATCTACTGACAGAACCGAACACGTTTTTTAATTCTACTAAAAGTTGTTTTGTTCTTTTCAAAAACGTTAGATTGGTCCAAATGAATAGCTGTGTTAGCATTATTCAGCAAAACTGTTGAATTCTTTTAGAATGTAGGTCATGCGTTGCTCTTGAATAAATATAAGTTGTTAAAGACTTTATATTTATTGAAAAAAATATAGAAGAGAGGAAGAGATGAGTGTGAGATTTGAGAGATAAGGATTGTGCATTGAGTTTGAACCTATGACGAATAAATAAATAAATAAAGGCTCGAAGGAGGTTTCACAAATTAGTGTCAAGTTTCTCTTCTCTCCTGTTGTCTTTCATTTTATATATATAAAAAAAGAAGATATACTTTGTACACGACGATACTCATTCAACGTGTCTTGATGAAATGACTGTGACGTGATGTCAAGCACCGTTTTTAAAGGAGGGTAGACCTGCGTTCTTGATAGTAATGATATCATTTCCTATTAGATACCCTTCCATAGGTGTGTTAGGTCACAACCTTAGGAGAGAAGTTTTAAGGTGGGCTCAATTTAGCCACTTAGGCAGGTAGATTGGATTCATCGTACTAGTTTCTGTATTTAGAATGTGCAAAAAAATTTGTGTTTATGTATATTATTATATTTGTGTATAAAAAAATAAATAATAAATAATAATAGTAATGAAAAAGAAATGAGAAAAATAATCATGAAATGCAAGGTAGCTCTCATACTAATATGCTTATTTATTTATAAGACTTCCTTACATAATCCTAGCCTAACATAACTCTGATATCATTCATAACCAAGATAATTAAAGCACAAAAAGAAAGAATATATTAGAATAAGGTATAATAGAAATCAAGCTATTACTGAAAAGTAAAGATTTACACGATAACTGTTTACAAAAGCTTACAGAAAAAATAAACTCTTTTAACATGTCACACACATAGCAAAACACATACCTTATTTATAATGTTGGGCGAACTCCAAATACAATTAAAAATTACTAAAAATGGATGTCTTTGGGATAACACATCTGAAAGAAAAGAACACAATAATTATCATTCACTTGAATTGGTGGAGTACAAAGGAGATTCTTCATAATGGTAGTACGTGGTTTCTACCACTAAATGATATTTCTTAGCAGTTGGTCTCCACTAACACCTTCTTTTATCTATTGATGGCAAGCGTTTACAAAGTCTCAGAATTTCTGGACTTTGGCATTTGATCTCTTGAGCTTGAAGATAGTTTTTCGGCTAGGCCTTCATCAACCCAATCTTCTGAGTTTGTCATCAACTTGTCGTCTGGTTGTGATATGTCATTCCTAACTAAAACCATAGTGGTCTAGAAAATCTTTTATAATTATTGATCATAATTAGTTGTTATTTGTTGTTTAATCCAGCCTTTTGATTCATGCGGATATTTTTGAAATAATATGCTTTCACTAAATTTGAGGATGGTAGCTTCTCATAAGATTGCAAAAAAATATTTATTTAGTTTAATTTCTCTTCCTCATTTATTTGAGGACAACATTTTAATTAAACTGGCTTATGTAAACATGTTTGATTAAACATGACATTTCTTAATAAAATTTTGCAGCTCTAGATCCATAGAATTTGCATTATGCAAGGAAATGGGCGAGAAATTAACATTAGACTAATTTCACGTTAGGATTTATATTTATTTTTTTATTTAATTCAACTCAAGCATCATATTTATCTTTTATGCAATTAGACAAAATTTCTAATTATGTACCAAAATATTTTCATCAAGTGTAGAACCAATCAAAATATCTCTTGATAAAATGTTTTTATTTACAATGAACAACCAAGAGTATTTTCTCTTAGTATTTTCCCAAAAATGCCTACATCATGGCATTCACATAATTTCAATAATTTATTAAAATTTTGCACTGTAAATTACACGATAAAATTACTATCCTATCTTGAAAGAAATTTAACCCCCAGTCTTTATGATATATGATATTATGCACAACACATTTACTGTACATTAAATCTTGTTTGATTTTATTATAACAATTGAACAATCAAAGATGTTCTTACATCTACTACATTTGAAACAACATATTTCAAAAAATTAATAAAATAAAATATTCTAGAAATAATTCCAAAAGATGGTCACATAATGACTACCAATTTTGTTACTAAAAGATATCTGGAAAGGGATTCATTCCCCAGTGAATGATATTTGACAAGAGAGGTATATGAGAAAATTCTCATTTAATTAACATGTGTGAAAATTAGTCACAATTATAATAAAAGTAAACAATAAATTATTATAGCAAATATCATATACATAATATCATACATCTTAAAAGGCCAGGGGTTACATTCCGACCAAGAGAGGATGGTAATTTTATCATCCAAGTTACAATACAAAATGTCAGTAAAATATTAGAATTATGTGAATGTCATGATGAAGACACTTTTTTAAGGTGATTACCAAGAGAATGTATTCTTAGATATTCATTATAAATAAAAATATTTTATCAAGAGACATTCATATATGGTTCTAACGTTGGCAGAACAATTTTAATGCATTATTAGAAATTTTGCATGATAACATAAAAGGCAAATAGGAGGCTTGGGTCGAATTGAATCAAAAAATAAATGCAATTTCTAAATAAAAATTAATCTAGGGCCAATGTCTTGCCTATTTTTTTAGAGATTACCGGATTCTATAGATCTAGAGCAGAAAAATTATATTAATAAAGGACATGTTTAATCAAACATGTTTATAAAGGTAATTTTTTTAAATGGTGGTCTCGAATAAATAAACAAGAGACATTATAGCAAACAAATATTATTTTGCAATCCTATGAGAAGTTGTCTTCCTAAATTTGGTAGATGCATATTTTTTAGAAATATTTGAAGTTATTAAAAGAAAATATCCACATGAATCAAAAGATGCGATTAAACAACGGATAACAGCGAATTGTGATCGATAATTTTAGAAAATTTCCTAGGCTCGTATATTTTTAGTATGAATGATGGATGGATCACAACAAAACTACGAGTCGATGACAAACTTAGAATACCAAGTCAATGAGGGTCTAGCGCAAAATCTAGCTTCAAGCCTGAGATCAAATGTCGAAGTCCATAAAATTTGAGACTCCGTAGACACCTAGTAGAAGCAGACAAAAGAAGGTGTTAATGGAGATCAGTCGCTTAGAAACATCATTTAGTGGTAGGGAGCACCTACCAGTACGAAGAATCTCCTTTATCCTTCAGTAATTCAAATGGACGATAATTATTATACTATTTTATTTCCGATGAGTTATCATAAAGACTTTCACGTTTAGCTATTTGGAGTCCGCCGTCATTATAAATAGGGCATTTGCTTTCACGTTTAGCTGTTTTTAATTATATTTGGAGTCCGCCGTCATTATAAATAGGGCATTTGTGTCTTTTTATGTGTTAAATTTTAGAATAAGCCTAGAGTATGATTTGTTTTTTCTTTCGAAAGAATTTGTAAGAACTTATCGTGTAAGTCTCTATATTTCAATAATAATTTGATATCTTTGACATCTTGTTCTATTTTTTTTTTATTTTTTCTATTTGTGTTTTAATTATCTTGGGCAGGAATGATGTTAGAGCTATGTTAGGCTAGGATCATATAAGAGTATATTACTATGAGTCAACATGATTTTGGTGTTTCTAAGTAACACCAAAATCAGGTTAGATTGTTCATAGATCTTAGAAATCATTAACCAGATATTATGAAGAGATAAACAACATAAGTTATGCTTTTCAATCCTACTACATTATATAATTAATTAAAAACTATCTTTAATAGCATCACTAACTATTACTGAAAAAATAAAAATTAAACAATTAACTTTTTTGGAAAATAAGAGGAGTTCACTGTAAGAAAATTGTCTATCTTAAAGAGCTACTGTTATGGTAATTGAAATAGGCAATAATTCTGTTCACAAAAAAAAAAAACTATGCTTATAATTTAGTTTTAATTTAGGGATTATTTGGAAACAATTTTATTTTATTGTATACTTTTAAAATTTTAAAAAACATTTGCAGCATGTTTTAAATTTTTAAAAATTATTTATTCTTAAAAACACTCAAATCAAGATTTAAATTACTTCAATTTTTTATAAAGATCATTACCATCATCAAATATATTTTATTTTAATTTAGAAATAAATTAAATTAAATTAAATTAAAATTAATAGCAGGGATGTTGAAATGAGAAAATATTACGTTAATGTCATCCATGGTCTGAATTACATCACGTCTTATGTATAGTGGCATGATGTGATCCACACCGACGTACTCTCAAGAGACCGACACGGACGTAATATTTTCTCTCCAAAAGTCCTTGGTAATCTAACTGAAGAGCTAACCTGGCTAAAACTGAGCCGACGTTCCGCTCTGGCAAGCTGTTCCGACCAACTCCATTTGTGCTTCTCCTCCAATCTTCCTCTCGTCCTACATTTGTGTTCAGGTCTTATTCTTCTTGTTGAACCGGGATGCATGAAGAGCTCTGGTACCTTTGTACTAGAAGATAGCACATCAACTTCCCTATATTTACAATCTACCTCAGTGAACATTAATAAGAAGAAGTAATTTATTATTTAATAATTGATGAGCTCTCATAATTAAAATCAACATCATACTGATTAGAATGGATTTTTAACCGATTGCATCTATTTTGATATTTGAGTGAGATTTTGGAAAATGGATGAAAGAGAGAGCTTGATTTGTAAATAGCAATATTTGGTGCTATGTACTAAATTATCCCTATTGATAAATATCTTGTAGAATCTATGATTTGAGCCTTAAGAGCAATTAGATAAACTAAACTAGTGTGTCTTTTTCATATATCCACACAAATCTTCATCTTTTGAGACATTTACATACATACCACACAATGACAATGTATATTTACATATCTAACACCTAAACTCTACTTTTTACATTTATACCAACTAAATATTTCGTATCACATAAAAAAACATCACTACTTAATTTTTAAAAGTGAAATAATATACTCATACAGTTTCATTCATCGATAAGGTGAGATATGTAAATACATAAGAGCTAAGCGGCATTTATGTAAATATTTGCATATGCCTGAGAAAAATGAGAGATTGTCTATATTTTGCAGTTTGAACCATTGGAGTAAATTGAAAAGTGAGTGACAAGTAACTTTGCACTCATTACCTGCAAGCAAAATATCATTAACATAAATAAAAAGATGTATGATTGTGTTTTGGAAAGCACCGACGAGTAGACTGTTCTAAAACATAAATTGACTTGTGTAGTTTTGCTAATCTATAAATCACGTAGGTTGCAAATTCTTGAAGTAGTTCATGTAAGAATGCATTGAAAATGTCCATTTATATAATTGACCAACCATTGCAAAGAGCTGCAGTAAGAAGAGCGAATCATAAGCATTTTTTGCTACTAGATTGAGAATCTCAATATAGTCAATACTATATCCTTGCTTATGTCCTAAAGCAACTAGTAGAGGTTAGCGACAAGCAATGATACCAATAAAGTTCTATTTGGTTTTGTAAATCCACTTGCAACCAAGAATTGTTAGATTAGGTGAAGCTAGAACTAAGCTCTATGTTCCTTGAGATTATAAAGTCTGAACTTCTTCGGATATAGCGGTGAGACTTCATCAACAAATTTTCATCACATGGCATGAATCTCAGGGCATGACATGAATCTTGAAATATTTTTTTAACAAGAAATGTTAAAAGTCAAATTAAAAATCATCTAGTACTTGGATTTCAACAAACTAATACTCAAATTGAACAGCTTGAGAAGTCGGACGTAATGACACCAAAATTGATTAAATCCGAGCCAATTAAAACAATTATACCACTTTTGGAAGCCTTGGATGGCTTATTGAAAAGGCAAATGGATTATTAATCTAACAAACTTATATTTGAATCGAACGTCTGGAAGAGACGAATCAAACAAGCACAAGATCGCTCAATTTTGACATCATTAAGACACTAAAATGTCTACAAAATAACATTCGATCATGGGAATTTTTTTAGGCCGTCCAAAGGAGTGGTCTGAATTCTTTTTTTTTATTTACAAGGGATGCTCCTAGACTCTATAAATAGAGCTCTACCACCTTCATGAAAGGGGATTAAAAGACCAAGACTTGGAGCTAGACTGAGAAATGGATGAAGAAGCCGAATTTCAGCGTTGTTTTGGACCAAAGATCCGATGAACACTTTCCGCTCTTGCAGCCACCGTCGATCACCATTGGTGGCCTTCTGTTTGTTGCAGTGAAACTCCATGCGGAGTAAAGACCTATGCCGTGGAGTAACAAATTACAGAGCAGTGCATCGTCCGTAAACAGTGCAATGACATATCTTGAAGACAGTGTTCCGAAAAATCGGAAAACTACCCCCAATTGCAACGGTTCCCGACTATTGTACAACGATTCCTTCTACATAAAAACATTGCACTTCAAGAAACTGTTTAAGCCTTTCTCATATGTGAGACAAGAGTTTGTATGTAAACTCACCAACTTATAGTGGATCATTTTGACTGGGCTAAGCTGTGTTTTTTTCCCTTCTTAGGTTTTCCATGTAAATTTTTTTTTTATTTATATCTATTAAATGTGTTTGTTGGATTTTTGTACAACATTAAAATGCTAAATAATCACTCCACCGCCGCTAATCTTCTAGCGCACAACAAGGAGCTTACTAGGTGGAGCAGCAGTGTGAGCTTGTAACAGCGACTAGAGAATGTGGAGATACATGAAATGGAGTAATTGTGGAAATGGGAAAAAACCTGAGTGAAGAAGAGGACGATGAAGATTGCAGTAGAAATTGACGAGGTATCTTTATAAGAAAATGATTGTTCATAAATTATGACATGCCATACTACGATAGTTTTTTCATTGGTGGGATTGTAGCACTTATAGGCTTTGAAATTAGGTGCATAGCTGTGAAAAACAAAAGAAGCTAATCTGGGAGAAATTTATTTGGAGAATATGGCTACATACATGGATAACAAAAACAACCAAATATGCAAAGTGTAATCTAGTTGGTTGTTTTGGAGTAGGATATATGGAGAGATGTTGTTGATGGTTGGAGGAGACAACGGGTTTATGAGACATCACAACAACAACAACAACAACAACAAAGCCTTAATCGCACTACGTGGGGTCGGCTACATGAATCATTTTTCTCCATTGCGTCCTATTTAGTGTCATATTTTCATTTAGTTCTAATAAATTAAGATCATTTTTATACAATAAGCCCAAGTCTTGCTAGGCCAACCTCTGCCTTTCTTAACATAAGTCGAATCTAAAACATCTACTCTCCTAATCGGATCATCAGATGGTAGACGCTTAATATGACCAAATCATCTAAGACGACTTTCTCTAATTTTGACCATCACAAAAGCTACACCAACCCTATCATGAATATATTCATTTCGAATTTTGTTTCCAAGACATAAAACATAAAAAATAAAAGTAGAGCTTGCACGATTTTTAAAATATGATGATGTTTACATTTAGTAACTCTATTTTACACGGGGGTATAATGGCATGAATGTTGAATTATATCACATTGATTTAGTAATATTTGAATAGTCTTGCATTATTCTCCGCAATCATCGGATCATAATATTTTGATTTGATTGGGGAATTATTTTTTTACCAGAGTTTTGAATCTGATGTAATAAGAGAGTGTTGGGTACTGTGGAGACCTGGTCCACCGTAATTTAATTAGCTTCCTAATTAAGAATCTCACATACTGCTCACCTACCTCCTACCTACCACTCTCCTGATTTTTATAAATAGTCTCTTATGGTTTGTCATAAGTAAAGTAAAACCAAGTCAGGCCAACCCAAGTCCTCTAAGAGAGAAAGAGAGAGAGAGAGAGAGAAAAGAATTGAGATAAGAAAATAGATATTTTCTTGTAAACGTCGAGTCGCTCGACGGTGTAATTCCTCGAAGAAATAAAATCTTCTGCAGCTCCGTGGACGTAGGCAAATTTGTCAAATCACGTAAAGCTGTGTGTCGCTCTAGTGTTTTGTTGTGTACAATTTTTTTCGTTCTATTTTTCTCTTTATTGTCGTTGTTTTTCACAACAACTAGTATCAGAGCTTTGGTTCGGATCTAAGGAAGAACGATGAGTAGAGACGAAGTGATGGCATCAAGGATCGAGAAATTCAATGACACAGATTTTGCTTACTGGAGGATGCAAATAGAGGACTACCTCTAAGGGAAGAAACGTCATCTTTCGTTACTGAGAAAGCGATCGAAAAAGATGGACAAGGCGAAATTGAATCTGTTAGATCGACAGGTTCTGGGCGTTATACGATTAACCCTGTCGAGATCGGTTGCGCACAACGTCATCAAGGAGAGGACTACTGCAGATCTCATCGCGACTTTATCAGGTATGTATAAAAAGCCATCGGCGAATAACAAAGTGCATTTGATGAAAAAGCTATTCAATTTGAAGATGACATAAAATGTCTCTGTTGCTCAACACCTGAATGATTTCAATACTGTCACAAATCAATTGTCGTCTATTTCCCAGTTTCATTGTCAAATAGCTTTTCCCAGTTTCATTGTCAAATAGCTAGGAAACCATGAAAATGACATTTAACAGTTCTGCAGGTAAATCTAAGCTGAAATATGATGTTATTTGTGATTTGATTTTGGATGAGGAGGTGCGTAGGAAAGATTCTGGCGAGACCTCGTGTTCAAGTTCGGCCTTAAATGTTGATTCCAGAGGGAGATCACATGACAGGAACTCAAACAAAAAAATATCAAAACAAAAGTCTGGTCAGCAGACAACCTGCTGAAATTGTGGCAAGACTTGCCACATAAAAAAGAACTGCAGGAATCCTAAGAAGAAAAAGAACGATGAAAGAAGAAGAACGATGACGCTAATGTTGTAACTGAAGAAATACAGGATGTACTATTGCTGGCAGCTCACAGTTCTGTTGATGACTGGATACTGGATTCAGGGGCTTCCTTCCATACATCTTCCCACACAATACATCTTCCCATCAGGAGTTAATGTGAAATTATGTTACATGTAACTTTGGGAAGGTATATCTGGCTGATGGAAAAGCTCTGGACGTGGTGGAGATGAGAGACGTTGATATTGCACTCCCTAACAAGAGCAAGTGGACTTTGAAAAAGGTCAGGCACGTTCCTGAGTTGAAGAAAAACCTCATCTCTATTGAGCAGCACAATGAGAGTGGTCATTTGGTAGTGTTCTCAGATAGCACCTGAAAGATTACTAAAGGAGCATTAATACTGGCTCGGGATAAGAAAATTGGCACACTATATATGACTACAGGTTTACTCAGGCGGACACATGAGTCAAATGTGCATTATGGGGAAGCAAAAGAAAGTCAATTTCTTAAAAAGTGGCAGAGCGCCAAAGGCAGGAAAACTGGGTCTTGTACAGACAAATGATGGAGAACCACAGAGCTATAAGGAAATCTTGCAAGATGAGAATTCGAGTAAGCGGGAGCTGACCAAGGTGGAGGAGACGGATTTCCTACCAGGGAATTCGGCTTGGGAGCTG